CCCGCCACCGCCCCCCCTGCGGGCACCCACCGCCCTGCCCCGGCGGGCGGGACACGGGGGGACGGGACGGGAGCGGCCCGGGAGGGGGGAAAGGTCCCGGGGGAGCAGCGCGCGGGGGAAAGGGCGGTGCGGGGGGACGGTTTTGGGGGAGATGCCCGTCTAGGCAGTGTGCGGGGGGACAGTTCTGGCGGAGGGGGCAGCCCGGCCAGGCGATGCGCGAGGGGCAGTTTGGAGGGGCAGGGAGTGTGCGGGGAGGCAGTTTCGGGAGGGTCGGTCTGTTTGGGGGGCGCAGCCCGGCCAGGCAACTGCGGAGGGGACGGGTCAGCGGTGGGGTGTGCGGGGGGCAGTCTGAGGGGGCGATGCCCATCCAGGCAATGTGCAGGGGGGCACTTCTGGGAGGGTATCCCGGTCAGGCAATGTGCGGGAGGGGCAGTTTTGAGGGGGTAGCCCGGTCAGGCAGTGGGCGGGAGGGGCAGTTTTGAGGGGGTATCCCGGTCAGGCAATGTGCGGGAGGGGCAGTTTTGAGGGGGTAGCCCGGTCAGGCAGTGGGCGGGAGGGGCAGTTTTGAGGGGGTAGCTCGGTCAGGCAGTGGGCGGGAGGGGCAGTTTTAGGGGGGCGATGCCCGGCCCCCGGCAGTGTGCGGGGGGCGGTGCCGGGCTTGCAGAGATTCCCGGGCGGGGGTTGCCCGGCTCCCGCTCCCGGGGCTCGGGGTGCCCGCGGTGCGCTCTGCACAGTGGCGGTGCCCGGGGCGGGGGGTCCCCGCAGCCCCCCGCAGCTGCCAGAGCCGCCGCCGCAGCCCCGCCGCTCGCAGCCCCCGCACTCGGGGGGCTCGGCACCGGCTGCAGCCTCCTGGTCCCTCCCTCCCTAGTCCTGCCTCTGCAGCCGCTGTTTCCCCCCCAGCTCCACGTTTGCAACCCCAGCTCCACGTTTGCAACCCCAGCTCCATGTCTGCACCGCCCGAGCCCCCCAGTCTGCACTCCCACCCCGCTTGGGTTCGCACATCGTCGCCCCGCAGCCCCCCCGCTGTCGCTCTGGTGGGGCCCCCATGGGGCTGCCCCCCGAGGGTGCAGTGGGGTGGGAGCCCGCAGACCCCGCACGGTGCCGGCTGAAGGAGCTGTCCCCCACGTTCCACCCCTAAAATGACCATCACGCCAAGGGGTACAGGGGAGAGCGAGATGGGAGGAGGGAGAGGGAGAGGGGACGGTGTCCCTCGGAATGGGACTGAGCTTCCCCCGGGAGCACGCGCTGCCAGCGGACCCCCCCATCACCACATGGAGACCATCAGAGAGCCGGGAAGGGCGACCCAACGCCAAAATCCAACAGGAGCGGCACGACTTCCCCTCCTGGCACCCCAAACCCTCTCCTCAAACTTCCCATCCCCCGGCACAACCTCAGCTGGCGGGACTGTCACCGGGACTGTCACCGGGACCGTCACCGCGGGTCCCCCGCCCGCCTCAGCCTCGGCGCGGCACTCCTGTCCTCGAGGGAAAAACCACTTAATCACGAATAAATAGCTCCCCTTTGCTTACAATGCCTCTAAATGTCACTCCGGCAGCATTTTGAGTCAATGCAGAGATATGAAAGCCCAGCTCAGCTCTCCAAAAGGCCCCTTTATGTTTTTAGCAACAGTCACGAGCAGCGCGCGGAGCCGGAGGAATCGCGGGCGGCTCCCGGGAACGTGCAGCACCGCCGAGATCCCCGTCCCGCTGCCGCTCACACCGACCCTGTGCCCGCTGCCACTCGTGCCAGCCTGCACCCAGCACCCCAGCGCTGCCCCGTGCCCCACGGCCGCTCACACCCACCCAGCGCCCTGCTCCCACTCACCAGCCCGCACCCTCACCCCGCTCTGTGCCCCACTGCCACTCACGCCAACCCTGCCTCCCACTGCCACTCACGCAGAGCCGTGCCCAGCGCTCCAGTGCCGCTCACACCAACCCTGCACCCCACTGCTGCTCACGCCTACCCGTGCCCAGTGCCCCCCTGCTGCCCTGCACCCAGTGCCACTCACACCGACCCTGTGCCCCGCTGTCACTCACACTGACCCACACTCAGCACCCTGCTTGCCCACTCATGCCACCCTGCACTCTGTGCCCCACTGCCACTCATGCCACCCTGCACTCTGTGCCCCACTGCCACTCATGCCACCCTGCACTCTGCGCCCCACTGACGGCTCGTGCCAACCCTGTGCCCCTCTGCCACTCACGGTGCCCCACACCCTGCACCCCACTGCCACTCACACCGCCCCTGTGCCCCACGGCCTCTCACACCAACGTGCACCCTGTGCCCCCCTGCTGCTCGTGCCGACCTGCACCCTCTGCTTCCACTCTGACCTGCACTCTCACCCCACGGCTGCTCGTGCCAACCCTGTGCCCCGTTGCCACCTACAGCAACCCTGCACCCCACTGCTGCTCACACCACCCTCCGCTGTTCCCCTCTCTGTGCCCCGCTGCCTTTCATGCCAACCCTGCTCCCTGTTGTTGCTCCTGCCAAGCTGCACCCAGCGCCTCGATGCCACTCACACCGACCCAGTGCCCCACTGCCGCTCACACCAACCTACACCCACGGCTGCTCATGCCAACCCTGTGCCCCTCTGTCACACCAAACCGAGCCCCGGGCCCTGCTGCCAC